AGAAGCAAAAGTTTACACTTTTCAGGCGCTTGCTAAAGTAACATAATTTACAGTACGAATAATCCAGCTTGGCCAAAAGCCAAGCTTCAAGCGCTAACCAAACATATATACAACTTGATTTTTGCATTTCCAAAGCACTCCATTCGCTTACTTTTGACCGCTTAAAAAATCTACACGCATTATACATACTAGACAGGTTCCAATTCAAATAATTCAAGTTTTTGAGGCATTTTTTAGAAAAAGCAACAGACCTATTTTTACTAGATCAGTTTTTCATGCTGATAAAGATATTAAAAGATGACAGCTCAACGGGGTGGTCACGACACTAAATTTTGGCATTTTTACCCCCCTAGGAAAATATTCTAGGGGGTACTATGAAACTAGTTCATAACTCAAAGGATATATGAGCTATTGTTCTGAGTTGTACACCATACATTGCTAGTACAAATATGAATACTATCCTAAAGTTATGGGTTGATACCCTTATTGGTCTCAGAAAAATACAAAAAACAGGAAAAAGATACGCAATTTTTGTCTTGCCAATTTTATATTTGTAGCTTCAAGCACAATATGACAGCTTTAACAGCTCATAGTAGTATTCTAAAAACATTTCTAAGCTATGTGTGGTATTGTAATACATCTATTTTAGTTATAAAGTACTATTTTGTAATTTTAATATGACTTTATAGTGCCCTACCCCTGGAAAATTGAAGAAAGTGGATGTGGTGAATTTTATCATTTTGCAGCATTAAGTTAGAAACATGTATTGAAAGACACCAAATCAATAAATTCATACCATCATCAAATGTTAGGTGACATTCTAATTCATTTATTACTAGAATATAGGACTTAAGATATTTTATATGTAAGTATTCAATTAAGTACATGTATCATAATGAAATCTAGTGAAATCACATACTAGAGAGGTTGGCATACAGTCTGGACATTGACATAAAGTCTAAACATTATAATCATCAATTGATCTCATTTGAGCAACTAGACTATGATGGTCATCATGCACAAGTAATGTACAGTAGAACCTGCTAAGTGGAACACCTCTGTAAGTGGAACACCTCCCAAGTGGAACGCCTTTTCAAAGTCCCGTTTTAAAAACCCATTGACTTAATGTTAATTGAATCTCTGTAAGTGGAACACCTCCAAACTTGAACAGTGAACACCCCATATTGAAAAATTAACCTGCTAAGTGGAATAGTCAATTTCCATAGATTTCAATATTGATATATGTAAACAGAATTAATCTCCTTCAATGATATCTGGGTATGAAAACAGGTAATACTGTGATAAATGGCAAATTAGGATTTTAATGGATTTTAATGGATTAACCTCCTGTAGAGGTCAACATGTGATGCAACCAATAATTAATTTGATTATCAGCAAATTAAGATTTCATAAGATTTTCATTCAGAAAATTGGATTAACCTCCTGTAGAACTGGACACGTGATGCTACCACTAATTAATATCCCTTGCTGTTTCAAACTTTATAAGTAAGATTAAAAATGTCATTTAAAAACAATTAAATTATTAACAGTAGGAACAAGTCTTTAAAACTTAATTGCCTAATCCTTGTACCTGAGACTGGCACAATTAGGAGGATTAAGAATATCAGAAAACATTTTTGGCAGAATGAGGAGGATTAAGAATGTCAGATACCTTTTTGAGTTAAATAAATGGATTATTAATGGTATATACCTGCCCTGTAATGAAGGGAGAATCATATTTCCAATGATACATATAAATCCCATATTTGATTTTGTATGTTCCCTGTGAACCCAAAACCTCTGTAAGTGGAACATCTTCTAGTAAGTGGAATGCAGAACGGAGAGTGTTCCACTTACACAGGTATTTACATAATAATGTTATAAAGGAGCATGTAGGTTATCGCAAACAACTTCAGACAATTCTAACTTGAATTATGAATATTTTCTGACCATGAACATGGGTATATCTTTTAGATCTATTCATTATCTTCAAGAAAAGTAAATATAATGATTAATCAGACCTAAGTGATATTAAAGGGAATGGCCCAATCAACATACTTTTTACTAAAAATGTTGACCTAATTTTTACCAAAGATGCAACCTTTAATTATATTGTTGAATGCATAATTAGAATATGCTTTGAGACATGTTCTATTTCCTAAGAGGAAAAGTGGATTGCTCCAGGGACTTTAAAGACACTGAATTTGGATGACCAAAATGAACTGAAACCAATGGATAGCATGAATTTTTTCAAAGGGGAAATAACATGGGGAACACTAATCTTAGGGGAATTCAGTTTTCTTTTCAAGAGCTATTTGATACATTAAAATAAAGAATAGTAATGCATTAAACATTGTTAAAATGATTGCATTTTTGGTGAAAATGAGGTCAACAACTTTGAAAAAATATATTGATGGGTTGATTGCTAGTGAAATATCTCCGAGTCCGATTGACTTTATTATCCCTGTATACCTGTCTTCATGGTCAGAAAATAGTCATAATCAAAGATATAACTGTCTGAAATTGTTTGTGATAACTTACCTGAACCTTTCCAGGTCAAATCAGGAGTGACAAAATTATTTCAACCAAATTTTTGACATGTCTTCAAATACGATAATATTTTCTTCATAAGATAGAGTGTCACCTGTGAAATTTATTGATTGACCTGAGATCTTACCATATCTTTATGACAGAGAAGCGAAATAGCCATATTGAACTTTAATGATGTTTGTTTAATTGTTGTTTGCCACTTTTCGACAATTGTCAAAATTTGGGGGTTTGGGGGAGGGGTACAATTAGGTTAAAAAATTCACCTGATTCAGACTATCCTTAAATGAGCACTGATTCACCCGAGAGCATAACTTTTTCAAAACATGTAAGTGTTATTTTTGGACCACTCACATTAATGTTCGTCTAATTTTCCCTTAGAGTTTCATCATCATTGTCCAAATCTTTGTTGAGATATTTGAGATATATGAATGTTCATTATTAAAATCTTGCCTTCCTTTGCAGTTGGAAAAGATTCGGCATTAGGTGTTATAAGTCCTAGAGCACGATAAATAAAAAATAACAACAAAATGACATAGAACTGATAGACGTTTTCTCCTGTGCGTGTCAGCCTTGGTCTACCAAATTGCTATTCAGTAGGAAGAAACTCATTTTTCAGTTTCCATTTTAATTTCCTGACAAATAGAGCGTAGCAACTTCTGTTTTAGAGAACAATAGAACAATAGAAAAGATTACTTTACCATAATTTTAATCATCCCACATTGTAGACATATTTAGAATTAACAATATGAAGAGAATGACAAAACCTCTTAAAACACATTTCTTAGGAAACAAATAGTGTCGTATTCTTGTTACTATGGCAACAGAGTTTTTTCTTTTTGTCATTTTTGTCATACAGATTACTTATCATACCAGGACCAAATCCTGAAAATTTGAATTCAGTATCTTCATTACTAGATATAGTATCTTAGATATATAGGTTTCTTATAGTGTCCCCTGCAGATTTTATCGGATGATATAAGGAAAATGCTCTGAAGAGGGTTGCCCAAGGATGCCACTTAACAGTTCTGGTATTTTTGAGGTCCCAACCCTCTATTCATGGGAATAGTTAACCATTGTAAAGCTTCTCATGGTTAACTGACAGAATTGATTGTATCTTCAACTAAGAAGACAATAAAATGTTAAAACCAGAAGAAAACCACACGAACTTTCTTCTATTTACCAGGGGTAGGGCACTATAAAGTCATATTAAAATTACAAAATAGTACTTCATCACTATAATAGATGTATTACAATATCGCACATAGCTTGGGAATGTTGTTAGAATACTACTTTGAGCTGTTTAAGTTATCATAATTTGCTTGAAGCTACAAATATAAAATAAGCAAGAAAAAATGACAAAAATTGCATATTTTTTTCTAATTAATTGTATTTTTCCGAAACCAACAAAGATATCAACCTATAACTTTAGGGTAGTATTCATCTTTGTACTAACAATGTATGCTGTAGAACTCAGAACAATAGTTTATATATCCTTTGCGTTATGAACTAATATTATAGTACCCCCTAAAATAATTCCCTAGGGGGGTAAAAACGCTAAAATTCAGTGTCGTGACCACCCCGTTGAGCTGTCATCTTTTAATATCTTTATCAGCATGAAAAACTGATCCAGAAAAAATAGGTCTGTTGCTTTTTCTAAAAAATGCCTCAAAAACCCTTTCCCTTGAGATATTCTGAAATTGGAACCTGTCTATACCATTTAGTGGTTTATAGAGCACATTATACGAGCATTACAGCGGTCGATTTCAGCATAACTGATCTACTGTGTATAGATTTTGCCATCGCGCGGACGTCACTGCGCTATCAAAACAATAACAACATTTTGTTTGTGAAATCTGTAGTGCTCGTATTTTGTTCCTATAATGATCAAAGAATACATAAATGATACACATAATTACAGAATTTTTGTAAAAAACTCGGTATATCGCACTTTGCTCGTGGGATAGATGCACCAACTAATGCTCGCACTATCCTGGTTCAATCTATCACTGTATATTGTATATATTGCTATGTGCTTGTGTTATGCCTTGTCAATCTTCCTGATATGGTTTCTCGTTTCCATGAGAGCGTTGCCACCAAGATTTTGACCTCTCCAGGCACTTGTGTCACTAGCAGTTTTATCATTTAAACTACATCCTGTGCCCATAATCATATCATGTGGGTTACACTCTCCTATGGTTTTGGACCCAGTTCTCATTAAAAGAGCTCTGATTTGCTTGTGCAGACTGAATTTAATAGCCGTAGCTTTTATCACATGGCTGTCACTTACTTTTCTCCATGATTGGCCATCACTTCCTCTGATTTCAGATATAAGCCTTCTTATTTGTCTGGGGTCAGATGTTTGTAGCACCTTGTCTGCAGTACGCTGATCCTTCATTACGATAGCTCTATTATAGGCTAGGTATTGCGTCACACTACGGAACATCGTGCCTTCGCATTCAAAGGGTGTGCAGCTATCTGGGCCAAGGGGGGATGTGGACGAATTGTACAAAAATACCGTGTCCAAATCTCGCATTGATGAGTTGTCATTCAAAAGTTCAGGTATTGCGTCACACTACGGAACATCGTGCCTTCGCATTCAAAGGGTGTGCAGCTATCTGGGCCAAGGGGGGATGTGGACGAATTGTACAAAAATACCGTGTCCAAATCTCGCATTGATGAGTTGTCATTCAAAAGTTCCATTGGTAATTTTTGTATGTCTCCAATCTTATATCGCTCATCTTTCACTATAAGGGTGTCTGAGATCATGGCACATTTCCATTTTAGTTCCTTGGCCTTTTTGAAATATGGCATCAACAGGCGTCTGTTATCCTCAACTTCCTTTGGAAAGCTCTCAGTAACGTATATATTTGATCCTTTAAGACTAAAACGTATTCCCCACACTGTCTCTCTATCCTGGTACCAGTTGAATTTCACGGTCATTGTTCTAGTGAATCTGTACTTTTCTTTAGGACCAAGTGGGATTCGATGTACACGCTCGAAGCGAATATTTTGCACCTCATCCTTCGACATCTTAAGTCTATTGACAAAGAAGTGCTTCATTACGTCTCCTGGATTCTCGCCATCCTCCTCAGGAATGTTCTGAAAGTGGAGTGCACTTCTACGAGAGTACACATTCATATCCAGAAGTTTAGTGTTCAATTCATCATACATTTTGTTATATTGATATGACATATTCTTTATAGCAGTAGACATGGAAGATGATTGAATTTGAATATCCTTAAGACATTCTTCGTGTTCCTCTACTTTGATCTTATTCTCTTCACTGACTTCCTGGGCATAGGTGATACCACTCTTCAGTTCACTTATTTCCTCCTTCAATGCATTTTTCATGTCATTTGTGTTTTTTCGAATATCATCTCTCAATACATTCATTTCATCATGAAATTCCGAGTTTTGTTTCGTGATTTCTCTACTCAAGCATTCCATACGATCAATAAGGATCCGTCCTTCTTCACTAATATTGACATTATCTGTTACTACAGGATTTCCTTTTGGGCGTGGCACATGCTGCCTCCTCACTATCAGTCTCGTCAGTATCACAAACCTTTCCCTCATCATTTGACATTTCTGAACTTGATCTAGTGTGCCTAGTGGTATTACGTGCACGAGCCTTTTTGGCTTTACCCGGCATGACTGATTTATTATGGGCAGATCTCTTACACAAAGGACTGGTGTACGTGCAGTTCGTCAATTTTTTCACTCACCACGATAGTATACTATCCTTCATATATCCTACGACTGTTCAGGACATATCCAACATTAGATAATAGCTAATAGTAACACGTTTGTAATCGTCTATTTACCTCTACGCCTGAAAATAAGAAAACTTTTACCGGAGAATTTTTTAGACCTCCATTTTGTTTCAGCCTCACTTTCAAACCAAAAAGGTCAAATCTTGAGTTTTCACGACTTCAGCACTTTTCTAATTTGTCCTTCAATATTTTTGCTCCGGTTTTTTTTCATCATGTTCTTTGAACGCAAGTTTATTCAAAAAGGCAAATCGTGTTTTTATTACTCTTACTGTTTTGAGAAATTAGTGTCAGAAATTTGAAAAAAACAACATTCGATTTACATTCAAAATTAGTCCAGTCATGTTCCACATGACCTAAAGAAATGCAATAGGGTAAATATCATCAGTTTTTATCTTTACTGTAGGCATAGACAATATACCAGCAGAAGCTCTGAAAAACCAAACATGTATCAAATTATTGCACCATCTAATACTGGACTGTTTCAACAGTGGAGTTGTCCCTAGTCAATGGATGAAGGGGATCATCAATCCCATATACAAAGATGGGGACCAAACAGACCCCTTGAACTATCGTGCAATAACCTTAATCTCTGTACCATGTAAAATCTACTGTGATATTTTGAATAAAAGACTTGTAACTTTTTTGGAAACCAATGGTAAACTCAGTGATGAACAAAATGGCTTCCGACCAAAAAGAGGATGCCTCGACCATGTTCAAAGTCTACATAGTATCATCAACAATCGCAAAGTATCTAAACTCGACACTTTTGTTTGCTATGTGGACGCAGTTAAAGCGTTTGACAAATTAGATAGAAACTGCCTATGGTTTAAGCTAAACAGAATTGGTGTTAAAGGTAAAATCTTCGATGCGATTAGGTCCCTCTATCAAGATGTGACATGTTCGATCCGACTAAATGGACATTTAACTCCATGGTTTTCTGTCAGCAATGGCTCGAAGCAGGGCTGTTTGTTGAGTCCGACATTATTTTCGATCTACGTTGACGAGATCTCGAACATCATCAAACAACTGAGATGTGGCGTTCAAGTCGGAGATGAACTGGTTAGCATTTTACTCTATGCAGATGATATAGCCCTCATCTCTGGGACGGCAGAGGACCTACAACGTATGCTGAATGCCCTCTATATATGGTGTCGGAAATGGAGACTCACAGTCAGCAAGAAAAAATCTAAAATTGTCCATTACCGCCCCGCTGCCAGGCCCCGATCAACTCATGTATTCAAATGTGGCCCAAAAACACTTGATTATGCAAACTCATACAAATACCTTGGTGTCTGGCTAAGTGAACATGTTGATGCTAAGATCACAGCAAAAGAAATAGCAAAGTCAGCTAGTCGTGCCCTGGCAGTGTTAACATGTAAATTCAAAGCTGCAGGCGGAATGGACTATGCAGTTTATACAAAGCTATATGATACAATAGTTCAGCCAATCATAAATTATGGTACCTCAATCATTGGTCTAAATGAGCATCGCTGTATCAATAATGTACAAAATAAAGCAACAAAAATATTCCTAGGAGTAGGCCAAAAGACAAGCAATGAAGGAGCGAGAGGTGACATGGGATGGAGCCCTCCTATCCACAAGCAAAAGTTGGAGTGTGCCCGACTATATTTGCGACTCCACAATATGGAAAATACCAGACTAAATAACCGGATACATATATGGTCACTACGGAGAAAATCAAGCTGGAATTTCCGCACAAAACATTTCATTGAATCTTGTGGTATACTTCTGAACAATCAGTACATTGAGATAAAACCATGTATTAAAGCTATTAAATATCACCTCCAAACTATTGATCCTTTTCTTCGAAATATCTGGAACGATAAAAATAATGAAACAAATGGCAACAAACTTAGAACATATCGTCAATTTAAATATGGTGCATCAACCGAAGCGTACATTGAAATGTTTATGCCTCGCCATCATAGAAGTATCCTTGCAAAACTAAGAACTGGAGCATTAAAACTGAACATTGAAACAGGCCGTTATACCAATACACCCCTAGAGGAACGAAAATGTGCTTTATGTGACACTAATGAGATTGAGGATGAGATACACTTCACTCTCAGGTGCTCTCACTACAATGATTTGAGAAATAATTTTCTAGCTTCTGTTAATACACTGGCCCCTAACATTGATACTGGTACAAATGATCATATTATGCTGTTCTCTAGACTTATGCACACACCCTGTATACAGAGAACCTTTGCAAGTACACTGTTTAAGATGTTCAGTAAAAGGAACTTTGATCTAGAAAGACTTTAACAGAACCTATATTTGTAATTACTCAAGAATAGCAAACTAATGAATTGTCTCATATTCTATTTTGTTATAAGCACAGAAATGTTATCTGTCAATGGTCAGTTATATATTTATATAGTATGACTGGATGGAGGCCATATAAAATCGATTTTGCCACTTTACAGCACCTTTTACTCACTATTTAGAATTGTGATACTGTCATAATGTATAAATGATGCATAAATATTTCCATAATAATGTATAACATAATAGCAACTCTGTAAATCTACTACATTGTGGGGACCCCTTTGGGGGTATTGGACCAACCAGAGGGCCCTCACATCACCAATTGATCATGGTTTCTTTTTCCACTTATCTACAGGAACATCAACCTTGGGGAAGATGTCTCCTTTCAGTATAAGTAAAGGAACAATGAACTTTGTATACATGGTCTCTATGACTGTTTATTTTGCATTTAGTAAGTTTACATTGAAAATTGAATATTTTGTTGAAAAATGAATATTTTGTATACATGTACCATATGGTGTCTCATAAGCCGGCATCGGCTGGAAGCAAATGTTTTTAAAATGTTTTAAATGTATTTTAACATGCTTGTGACACAAAAATAAACTATATTAAACTAAACTGTAAAATTGTGTTTCAAATAAAATGCCGTAAACGTCGCTGTTTTTTATATTCATGGAGAGGCCGTATTTATTTTTATCAAATGCATTTACCATGCTTTTTATTCCCTATTCAAAACATGTTCCAATTTTTCATTTTTGTGTGCCTTTGAAATTTGTCTGGAGAATTAAATCAATTGTGCAGTGAGTTTGTTGCCTTGGCGAGGAGCGGCATTCTACGAAACCGCTCCCTGCGATTTTAACACAGTATCTACTTGTTTTTTTAATAACCATATTCTCATGGTCTATTACACATCATGATCAATATTATATATACCTCCTATTTTGCATTTTACTGCAACTATTGATATTTTCTAACGATTGAGCGTATGATACAGGTACTTCACACTGTTTTGATATCAGATTTGGAGAAGGTGTTCTATAGTTTGTTACGGGGGTGTATATTTGAGTATGTTCTGTTCTATTTAAGTGACGATAAACGGTGGTATTGATTGAATGAGTTGTGAGTGATTTATGTTGAGGAAATAGGTTTTGAAATTAACAAATCATTCGGCTTTGTGACGCTAACGGCAGCATTTGCTAAATTTACCAAATGACTTTAAGGTTAACTGTTTAAAAATATCTTGTCAAATGTATTTTTACTTTGATATTAATGTTATAAAGTTAGAAATAGTTTTTGTTTTAAGTAAATTGTGTTTTTCGAATTCTTAAATCCTACAAACGCCAATTTCATCTTAGGGGTAGGTGGACCTCCTTGTATATAAAAAAAACAAAATATACTAGGTACCTTCGGCACTTTGCAAAAGGGGTCGCCGCGAGGTTGGCATTAAAGAATTCAATTTTTAGCCTACAGGGCATAAATTCTGTCAATATAATACTAAGGAATTGTATACAGAGTATGTAAGCAAGGTTTCCGAAACCACATGAATATAAAATGTAAATTATTTGCAAGAATTCATAACTGAGATAAAAAGCTGGATAAAAAGCTTTGCCTCCGAGGCATATGGAACGAGTTTAATGTTTGGGCAAGGAGAGACCATATATTTGTTTATTTAATTCATAACTGAGATAAAAAGCTGGATAAAAAGCTTTGCCTCCGAGGCATATGGAACGAGTTTAATGTTTGGGCAAGGAGTGACCATATATTTGTTTATTTATAATTTTAGACGAGACTCGTCTCTGAGACGTTTGTGGAGCTATAAAGGATACATTATAAGATTTGAGATATTTGCCTCCAATGCTAGATAGCGATTTCATTTTGAAATTTGTCAAAAGAATTAAGTCCCATGAATCAATATTGGACTATTATGGAGCTTTGCCTCAGGAGCATCTGTAAATAAGGAATATTTGGTATATAAGTTTACCTCTAGAGAATATGTACTTTAGAAGTTAATAGAATATTCATAATATATGGCTTTATATGCCAGGATTATAATCAGATCATTGGACTATTATTGAATTTTGCCTCCGGGGCATATGTAGATAAGGATTGTTTAATATTAAAAGTTTACCTCTGAGGAATAATCTACTTTAGAAGTTGAAAATATAATATTAACAAAATGGTTTTATATGCCAGGATTATGATCAGATCAATTGAACTATTATTGAATTTTGCCAACCGGGCATCTGTGCATATGGTAACCAGATGTAAAAAGGTGACCAAAAACACTTTCTGTAAATAGTTGACTCTAATATGTACATGTATATGTGTTGTAAATGATAAAACTACTCTGTTTAACTACAGGTTAATAAATAAATAATAATAATAACTAGACATGTAAATTGAACAAGTTCAATTTAAGACTCCAGATTTCAGACTTTTTTAAGCTGAGTCATCCAAATACTTGTAAGCTGAGTCATTCAGAAAAAACTGAGTCAGCTAGAATATAGACATTTAGATAACTCTTAAGAATGTTATCTTTGACTCCATTAGCTTAACATGGGGATATCATCATATCAACTTTTCGAGACTTCAAACCGCTATAACTATCTAATCAGAAGTTGGATCGAAATTTGGTTTAAAGATTCTGATTCCTGAGAAAATTCTACCCTTAATTCATAACTCATATGTTAAATTTAGAGAACTTTTTATTTTGACCTACTTTTCAGACACCATATCTCAAAACTGGGTCAAAATACTCTCTGACGGCAGAAGGCTAACACTATAAGCACACTCTTTGCTACCTGTATACAAAATTTCGAAGCAAATCATTA